TTGGTGAGTTTTACAAACTTTCCTAATGAATTAGAGTATCTAATTGGATCTTATAAAAAAGTCAAAACAATAACCATTAAATCAGTACATTATTGGAGAATTAAAAGTGAGTTTTTTTTATTAGAAAATGAAAAAGAAGGGTTAACATCATACTCTCCCACATATTTCTACTTCATATTTTGTTAGTTAAAATTTATAAAGAAAGTTTCATTATATAAGACGTGACGTCTACAATTTTATTCCAAGACCAACATCAAAACAATTACTCTTTATTTCTACTTTTCATTTTCTTTAAATTTAACGATTCTAAAGAATAATTCATTTGTAACTGTTAGGAAAAAGTAATGATGAACAATTCTTTTTAATCTTTCATACACAACAGTTTTAACGAATAATTTATATGCAACTGTTAAATTAAAAGAAAAAAAACAAAGATAAAGAGTAATTATATATATATTTTTTTATCGTAATCAAACATAGTACGACTCCTTTCTTACCCAAAGAGTCACCTTCCCTTCATAACCGTGACATTGCTTGCTTATGATATGCTTGGCTAGTTGGCTCCTTCTATTTGTCTCTCTTCATTCTCCAATGGCCTTTTCACTTGTCTCACACTTACAACTTTGTCATACTCCCAATTTTCTCCTTTTTTGTTTATTAACGCTCCTTCGTTATTTGTGAAATTAATATCACTTTCCCAATAATATTTTGGGCAATCATTGTACTAATTAGAAACTTCCCAGACGAGATAAGAACAACTTATATTAATCATGTGTAACTAGTTGAAGAAACGCTCTTTAATTTATAAGTTTGGCCCCTCATCTATGAATATTATGTAAAAACAAACCCCAACCCATCAAATCATACGTACTTGATTTTGATGTGCTAATAGCCTAATACAAACAATTTTAAACAATATGTTTTGTTTCAAATTATTTGTGTCTAAAACGGCATTTTGCACGACTTTGATAAAAATGAGTTCAATAACTACTTCGAACCAAGACTTGCTAGGGAATAAACTGATTAAAATAAAATTCATAATTTGTTTTCAATTTTGGTCATGGCAGTGTCGACCGAAGAAGTAACAAACGATCGATCAACTTCCATGTATTAACAAAAAAAAAAAAAAAACCGGGACAACAACATAGATATCATAGCAAAGTTTTCCATTTTTTAGATAAATACCACAGCACGAACTACAGTCACAAACACAATCATATATTCCCACAGATGTAGCTTTTTGAAACCATTAAATTGACGACTTTAATTTAATTTTTGATGTCATTAAAACATGACTCAATTTTATTCTGAATAAACTCATTTCATAATTAATATATGTAATTGCGTACAACGATACTCATTTTGTTTTTTTTTTTTTTTGCATGCATTCTTTTTCAAGGATAATTTTGAGATATGATGAAACATTAAATATAAACACTTTGCTTTGGAACCGAATCTTGATTCGTCATGAAAAATTAGTCCCTTAAGATAAATTAAAGTTTAGTTGGTGTACAAGTAGAAATATTCATTGCTGTTTGTTTTTGTCACGCAATTCTTAGTCTACTAACCATGATGATATGTTTGTTGTAACTGGCACGGGCAATGCATCTTTTTCCCACCAGTTGAGACTCCAAATTCATGTTGATTGTCACAAACATTCCAGTTTTCCACTAACATTTGCTTTTTCCTTTATTGAGTCACAGCACTGTTACTATTTCACACCACTTTATGAAAGTAAACGGTTGTTGTTACTACTATGTTTTCTTTTCTTTATCTTGTAGGCTAGTCACGCGTCATTATTTTGTGATTGTTTGATGTGAGTTACATAATGAGAAATACCATTATTTTTCTTGTTGCAAAATACTTGTTGCGTTAGTATTTCTTTTTCCCTCTGACTAGACTGATAATCAATACAGATTACTTAAGAGATCATTTTTGTTACTAATGGATTTGCACATGCTGCATCTATCGCTAATTGCCAACTCATACAAAAATTTCAATTAATTAGTAGTTAAGTTGACACCACTACGATGTACCAACCTTCTGTAGATCTGAAAACTCGTATCGGGAGTTGCAACCTTGACCTCGAGGGTAGTACGAGTATATCTTGTGAGTATATTTGAGGAATGATTCATATATCTTTAATTAAATGATTACTAATTCTCTTAAAGATCAAATCTAGTAATCCACGTGACATAGACTTAACAAAACAAATCTTCACAATTTTTTTTGTGAATTCTCGATCAAACTTAATTAAAAGTTTTGAATTTGAATTTCTTGAAATGTAATAACATTTAAATTTAAATTAAAAGAAAATAACTTTATTGTTTATCATGTCATGGTATATATATATATATATATATATATATATATATATATTCAGATGAAGTATAAAATGAAGATCGTTTGTAAGACATTGTTAATTAGACGAAGCATACAGGTTATCTTATATATATATATATATATATATATATATCAAATATTTAATGTAATATCAAGTGTTATTGGTCTTAGGATGTTTTTCTCATGCTTTTTTTCCCCTTTAAAATTATACTTAAATAAATAAAAATATGAAAAGTTAACATTGGATTTTCAAAAAAATTTAAAATATTAATAAAACATTCATTATATTTAATGTTTTATTAATATTTTTATTTATAAATATTATATTTCCTTATACGCTATTTTAATTTGAGACAATTTTCACTCCTTTCATCCGATGTCATCAATTTTGGCTTGATGTAAGTAAGACCAAAACTCTCCTGATTGAAGTTACATTCGACACCATGAAAGTGAACCCGACATGATATTAACTCTGCACTTATGTAGAAATTAAATATGCCTAATCCACTTGAAAATTAGCAATCCAACTGCACGCAAAAAGGAATATTCCTCATATATAACATGTAGAACTCCTTTCTAACTTCAAAAACAACATGTAACCACTATATTTCAACAATCATCATCTTCAATTAATGAGCAATTTCAAACAACCAAAAATCAAAGTACTTCATCAAATTAAAGAATTCAAAACTTGCACGAACTCCAACAACAAAATCAACATGAAATTCAACAAACAATAAAAAAATTTCCTTACCTTTTGTCAATTTGAATCGAGAAGAGAATGAAAGAAGAACGAACTTCCACATGACCTAAGGCTTAAGACTGTTGACCAAACTCATGATGAAGATTTAGTTTATATTTTGATAATTTTAAAAAGTGCCTCTCATAGTTAAGAGAGTACAAAATATATTGATTTGTTTTTATGCTTTGGTATGCATGTCTACTTTGTGTATTGTGAGTAATTTAGTCATATATCTCTTGTTAGATGATGGTTGATGATGAAAAGGTTTTAAAAATGATTTTAAACTTAAAAATCAAGAATTTGAGTTTGTCACTCAAAATGATCGATTATCTACTTAGAATAATCGATTATTTACTCTGTTTTCTCATTATGAGAAGCACATTGTAATAACCAATTATCAATATGCAACAATCAATTATTTTAGAATTGGTGCTCTTTGATAATCAATTAAAGTGTTATTGACTGATTTCTAGATTTATCAAGAATAAAATAATCGATTATCCATGTAAATAATTTCAATTACAAAGTCCTATAAATATCAAATTTTAAACCTAGATCTTTTTCAATTAAAACATTTGCATCTTTGTGATTATCCTTATGAAAAAGACTCTTTGAAAAGCTCGATTTTATTTGTGAAAGAATCTTTTGACCCTTTGTGGATAATTTCAAGAAAGGATTCAATAATCATTATCATCCAATTTTAAAAAAATACTAAAATATTAGGAGTTTTGTGTAGTAAGTGACTAAAAAGACATTTTTTTTCATGTTTTGTAAGAAAAAAGTGAAAAAACATTAAAAATAAAAAAATAAAGTGAATGAAAATAAATAAAAATACACTAAATAATCTGAATATTTGATTTAAGTGAAATAAAATATATTTTATTAGATTTTTTATTTAATAATTATATTATTGATACAAATTATCCATCATCCTTTTTTTATAATTAATCTTTTATCGAAAAAATTTAAGCGATTACTTTGGAAAAAATTTCTGATATAATCATATTTTTCTCATGAACGAGACTTGAATCGAAGAACTTGTTTCAGTAAAGTGAATCCAATATTTCTCATTCTTGAATTGTGGATATTAATTTACAATTTTAATCCATTAAGTAATTTTTACTATAAAAGAAAACATTTGATTAAATAGGTCCGTGACGCGAATTTTTTACTGGAATAATTTTTTTTTAAAAAAAATTACAAGAATGATCACTGTGCAGGATTATTTACCAAGATAGAACCATTTACTGTTCAAGCTCAGAATTCGGTTCCCGGGGAACCGAATTCTGAGCATCAAAATGTAATTTTTTTTATTTTTTCAACTCAGAATTCGGTTTCCGGGGAACCGAATTCTGAGTTGGTTTTAATTTTTTTTTTTTTCGTGTATGGGGCAAATGTGGGCTGATCTGGGAAGCGGAACGGCCCGCTCCAAAAGCAGAACGGGCCGTTCTGCTTAAAGAAACAGAGTGCAAATTCTTTAAGCAGAACGGGCCGTTTCACATTCAGAATTTGCACTCTGTTTCTTTAAGCAGAACGACCCGTTCTGCTTTTGGAACGGGCCGTTCCGCTTCCCAAATCAGCCCACATTTGCCCCAGACACGAAAAAAAAAAAAAATTAAAACCAACTTAGAATTCGGTTCCCTGGGAACCGAATTCTGAGTTGAAAAAACAAAAAAATTACATTTTGATGCTCAGAATTCGGTTCTTCGGTTCCCGGAGAACCGAATTCTGAGCTTGAACAGTAAATGGTTCTATCTTGGTAAATAATCCTGCATAGTGATCATTCTTGTAATTTTTTTTTAAAAAAATATTATTCCAGTAAAAAATTCCCGTGACGCTTGGCGCTCTTATTTTTAATCGTATGTATTATTTAAACCTTTTAAAATTGAAAATTATATGCATTTGCATGCACAAAGCGACACCTACTTGGCTACTTCCCATTCCTCATCTGTTTCCACGGTACGATCTTGGTTTGTTAACCATTTTTGGTATACCAAATAGAGGGTATATGGTGGTTAATAAAATCAGGTGCTGCCCTGCGATTTATCTAATTTGAGTTAAGTTTTGAGGAAAGTGGTGAGAAGTGAGAAGGTAGGAAGATTGTGGTGAACCATGAAATCTGAGACTGAGAGATCTTTATAGAAAGTAGAAACCATAGCATGCCCATTGCCCAAGCAATACAGAAACACAAATAATGGCGCTGCTTCTTCCTCTCTTCCTCTTCCTCTTCCTCTTGGGCCAGTCCACCACTTGGGCCCTAACCCAGGACGGCCTCTACCTCTACCGCTGGAAGCTCTCCCTGGACGACCCCGACTCCTCCCTCTCCTCCTGGAACAACGGCCACCCCACCCCATGCAACTGGGCCGGCGTCACGTGCGGCCCAACCAACAGCACGGTGAGCTCCCTGGACCTCTCGAGCTTCAACCTGGCAGGCCCATTCCTCCCCTCCCTCCTCTGCCGGCTCCCCAACCTGAGCTCCATAATCATGTACAACAACTCCATCAACGAAAGCCTCCCCCTCCAAATCTCCCTCTGCACCTCCCTCACCCACCTCGACCTCTCCCAGAACCTCCTCACAGGCCTCCTCCCCCACACCCTCCCTCTCCTCCCCAACCTCCTCCACCTCGACCTCACCGGCAACAACTTCTCCGGCCCAATCCCCCCCTCCTTCGGAACCTTCCCCAAACTCCAAGTCCTCTCCCTCGTCCTCAACCTCCTCGACCACACCCTCCCCCCCTCGCTCTTCAACGTCACCACTCTCAGAACCCTAAACCTCTCCTACAACCCCTTCCTCCCCTCCCCCCTCCCTCCCTCCCTCGGCAACCTCACCAACCTCCGCACGCTCTGGCTCACCGCTTGCAACCTTGTCGGCCCCATCCCGGACTCCCTCGGGAACCTCCCCGACCTTCGCTTGCTCGACCTCGCCCTCAACAACCTCCACGGGCCCATTCCCTCTTCCCTCACTCGCTTGACCAACCTCAAACAGCTTGAGCTCTACAACAACTCCCTCTCCGCCCACTTGCCTCAGGGAATGTCCAACCTCACTTCCTTGAGGCTCTTTGATGTTTCAATGAACCATTTGACTGGCCCCATTCCCGATCACTTGTGTCGTTTGCCTCTCCAGAGTCTTAACCTCTACGAGAACTCCTTCACCGGCCAGTTGCCGCCGAGTATAGCTCTCTCGCCCAACCTCTACGAACTCAGGCTGTTCGGGAACAAACTCGCCGGGGACCTGCCGGAGGATCTCGGCAAGAATGCTCCCTTGGTGTGGCTTGACGTTTCCTCCAACCGTTTCTCCGGCCAGATTCCGGCAACTGTATGCGAGAAAGGCCAGTTGGAGGAGCTTCTCATGTTGGAGAACGACTTCTCCGGGGGGATTCCGCCGAGTTTGGGCGCGTGTCGGAGCTTGACGCGTGTCAGACTGGGGAATAATCGCTTGTCCGGTGAGGTTCCGGCGGCTATGTGGGGTCTTCCGCATGTGTATTTGCTTGAGCTGGTGGGTAACTCGTTTAACGGTTCCATCGCGAGGACCATTGGCGGGGCGAGGAATTTGTCGCTGTTGATTTTGACCAACAATAGCTTCTCCGGTGTGATCCCCGACGAGGTTGGGTGGTTGGAGAATCTTCAGGAGTTTTCTGGTGGTGATAATAAGTTCAGTGGGCGGTTGCCTGGGAGTATTGTGAAACTTGCTCAGCTTGGGACTCTTGATCTTCACAGCAATCAGCTCTCCGGGGAGCTTCCCAAGGGGATTCAATCTTGGAAGAAACTTAACGACTTGAATTTGGCCAATAATGAGATGGGTGGGGAGATTCCTGATGAAATTGGGAGTTTGTCGGTGTTAAACTTTCTTGATCTTTCAAACAACCAATTTTCTGGGAATGTCCCTCTCGGGTTGCAGAATTTGAAGCTCAATCAGCTCAATTTGTCTTATAACAGGCTTTCAGGGAGACTTCCCCCTCTGCTGGCTAAGGATATGTACAGGGCTAGTTTTATGGGTAATCCTGGCTTGTGTGGAGATTTCAAAGGTTTGTGTGATGGGAAAGGGGAGGGTAAGGGTAAGGGATTTGTGTGGATTCTGAGAACTATTTTTATAGTTGCCTCTTTGGTGTTTGTCGTTGGTGTGGTCTGGTTCTACTTCAGGTACAGGAATTTCAAGAATGCTGGAAGATCTGCTGATAAATCGAAGTGGACGTTGATGTCGTTTCATAAACTGGGTTTTAGTGAAGATGAGATCTTGAATTGCCTCGACGAAGATAATGTGATAGGAAGTGGGTCGTCTGGGAAGGTGTACAAGGTTGTGCTTAGCAGCGGAGAAGCCGTTGCTGTCAAGAAGATATGGGGTGGGGCCAGGAAGCAAATAGATAGTGGGGATGTGGAGAGGGGTCAGTTTCATCAGGACAGTGCTTTTGATGCAGAGGTTGAAACTTTGGGCAAAATAAGGCACAAGAACATTGTCAAGCTGTGGTGTTGCTGCACCACTAGGGATAGCAAGCTGTTGGTTTATGAGTATATGCCAAATGGAAGTCTGGGTGATTTGCTGCATAGCAATAAAGGAGGGTTGTTGGATTGGCCAACTAGGTATAAGATAGCTGTTGATGCTGCAGAGGGCCTCTCATATTTGCATCATGACTGTGTTCCTTCAATTGTTCATAGAGATGTGAAATCTAATAACATCTTGTTGGATGGGGACTTTGGTGCAAGGGTGGCAGATTTTGGCGTAGCTAAGGTAGTTGATGCCACCGGGAAAGGAACTAAATCCATGTCTGTCATAGCTGGGTCTTGTGGGTACATTGCACCAGGTTAGCAGAAATTTCATGTCATTTACTTCGTGTTCAGTCTTATTTTGATAATATGAGATACATTTAATTGTGCTTAACTATTCATCGCAGCTTTACTATAGATTAGTTTTAGAAAGCTTAATGTGTAAAGCTAGGCGTCTAAGTATATGTCAAATGGTTTCTTTGTTTTTCATTATTTCTTTTGCAATAATGATCAGCTGCCATGTCTCTATGGAGCCAAACTGACACGATTCTTTCATTCTGCAGAATATGCATACACTCTTAGAGTGAATGAGAAGAGTGACATATATAGCTTTGGTGTTGTCATACTTGAGTTGGTTACGGGAAGGCGGCCCATAGACCCTGAATTTGGGGAAAAAGACTTGGTTATGTGGGCGTGCACCACCTTGGATCAGAAAGGCGTGGACCATGTGCTTGACTCCAGGCTTGACTCTTGTTTCAAAGAAGAAATTTGCAAGGTCTTCAACATTGGCCTCATGTGCACTAGTCCTCTTCCAATCAACAGGCCTGCAATGAGAAGAGTGGTGAAGATGTTACAAGAGGTGGGCACAGAAAACCTAACAAAACCTGCCAAGAAAGATGGGAAGTTGTCCCCTTATTACTATGACGATGGGTCAGATCATGGAAGTGTTGCTTAATTCAAGTTCTTGCAAGGGTTGGATTATTTGATTCATCAGAGAGGAGGGGAAAAGTTCTAAGCTTTTTTTTAACTTAACACAGCCAAATCCCCTCTTTTTTTTTTTTTTTTTTTTTTTTTTTTTTTTTTTCAATCATGATTTGCTTTACAAAAGTTGGCTAAAGAAAAGGGAAGAGAAATTTTTTTGGGGTTGAAATTTGAAAATAGAGTGAAGTTCAAGTTTTTGCCCTCCGAGTTGGTCGACTTCAAGGCGCGTCCCTACTAAATTTAAATTGGTGTTTGCATTAATACCTCTTGTATTGAGAAATGATATTCTCACTGTAAAAAAGCTGAGTCATGTGACCCATCTCTGGCATGGGTCAGATGAATGTAAGAATTGTAAAATCAGTAGTGACTTCTAAATTCTAATAGAAAATCATCCCTATAGTAATTTCAGTTAATATCAATCACGTGATAGAAAAATGATCAGCAGGACCAGGGAGTGGATGTTCCAGCTTAATTGCTTTGACTATTCGTATAAAAATTTACGTCTCACTGTGCCCTCAGATGTGCTGCGTACAGCTATGGGAATTGAGTTAATGAGGTGGTTGGGCAGGCCCTGTCCTTCGTGGGCCCTCTTGTGTAATTGCAGGGTGTGTTGCTGTTGCCTACAACTAGTGGTCTAGCGTTACTTCTGTCTGTGATAAATGATGATGGGAGATGGTCATCCTTTTGTATAATAATTAGTCCATTACAGCAGTGATCTTTTAGCTGAATTCAGCACTGGAATCTTGCCAAATCTTGGCTAATTCTTATTCTGGCCTCTGGTTATTTTTGACAACCGTTCCATTGTGTAAAGAAAAGGTAACTGAAATTATTGCAAGATTGATGAAAGATTGTCCTTCTGAAATACACTTAAAGTTGTCTGTAAAAAGTAGCTGAGTTAACCAACAGTGGAGTGAGATACGACGCTGTTTATTGCTGGTTTTGTTCGTTTTCTGATATGCATTTCCACTGTATGCAGGCGTCTCGCTTTCTGCTCTGTAGTTGCTTCTAAATGCATCACGATTCACCCGAGTTTTAATGGCTCATTTAGTTGAATGACTCCTCAAACGTGACACTGCCACATTTAGTTCAATGGCTCATTTCGCAGCACTGTACGCAATGAATGAGTGCTCAATGCCAAGACGATTCCATGGGTCATAAATGGTTCGGTTCACCTTTCAGTTACAACTCACAAGGGAGTGATGCACAAAACCCTTCTCGCATGTGAAAATTGAATTTATAAACTTATAAACACAATTGAATAAGGTTTTCTGAAATTTAATTTTAACAATACAACTATTAAATTATTTGAACCGGCTTCACAGCGGAGATTGAAATAGTAGTAAGAGGATTCATGATCGATTCTCATTGTTGTAATCTTATATATTGATAAAAAAAACTATTAAGTTATTGGCATTATTGCAAAGGATTTTTACTCGTAGGAATTGGGGTATAAAAAATGCAAAATAATAACCTGTTTTAATAAATTACATGAATATACACGCTCAAAAACTGTTTAATTGGTTTTCAAAATACATGTTTGCTATTCTCTTAAGAATATCCGTGCAAATGTTCTCCCGCAAAATCCTAAGAAGAATCAACATCTACACAAACATGGTTTAAATTTTCAAGCGTATCTTTATTTTATAAGAATCCATTTTAATCGCAAAGATGATGCACATTAAATTTAATTTAAATTCATTATTTATAGGCATATAAATTTATGTGAAATGATATTTATACGAATTTTTTTTACAAAAGAAAATAAATGACAAAGAAAACAAATAAGATAGTGAGAGAGAAATGAAATTTGACTGATATATTATTTCTACAAAGGACTAGCCTATTTACTATTTATATGTATGCATAATAGCTGACCAATTACAAAAGAAAGAAATAATAGACAATAATTTTATGCGTCTATCATTTTTAATTAAATTTTTATTATAATCAATGCCAAAGAGATTAAAAAAAAGTGATGTACGAATCGTTGGAATTGCACGTGTATCATTCATTACTATTAAATTTAATGTAAATATTTATATTTGAAACATATACATTAAAATAAATAAGTAAAAAACAAATTCTTATTAATTTTTAGATTTGATAGCATTGTCTATGACCGGTAAAATCAACATTTACCGTCAGACAGAAATTCAATAACAAAATTATTTGTATGTTTGTGAATTTTAAGAATTTCATATATATTGATGTTGAAAATTACCAATGTGATTATTGAATTAAAATTTTATCATGAAACATACTAGCTGATTGGCAAATTTCACTCTTCGTAAATATTTGACACTTCATATTATATATATATATATATATATCAGATACTATAGGTATTCTTTAAGGAGACAGTTTTGCTCTAATCGCTAAGACTAGTATGAGTTAAAAAATTCTTTCTTCGAGTATGTATTAATATTTTAAAAATAAATGTAAAAATTATATTACTGGCTTGCCTACTCTATAAACACAAAGCGCTACTTTTTTCTTTTTCCTTGACATAGATTTGGAATCCTCGTTGGTAAACCAGGGATTAACATTCAGGCTGAAGATGATATTTATACTGATTTGGTCAAACCATGTATTTGTATGTAAAGTTTGTCCAAGACTAAGCCTACAGTTTACTGTTGTTATGATAAACTGTTGAGTGTAAATATCACTAAAGTCAATATAGTGGAGGAGATTTGAATAATATACACGGTGTTACATTGTAACTGTTGTCTTAAAAAAAAATATGTGGAGAGAAAATATGTATTTTGGTAGATTTAAAAATTCAGCACGTCGGATAATGAAATCATGATTCGCAATATATATATATATTAATATTATATTTTTATATTATCATATTATTAATTATAATAAAACTAAAAAAATTGAATAAGAAAAAGAGAAATTCTATTATTTTTTAGTTAATAAAAATTTTAATTTATAATTTTATATATATGAAAAAAATAATTTGGCATCCCCAAATTTTTTGTTTAAGTTCCGCCACTAATCATTCGGTCCCTCTAGGACTACAGGCATCTGAACAAGAAACCATGACCAAGTGATCAATTTATGTATTATCTGTGGAGTCAAAGCACATTGACTTTGTTTTTTTTTTTTCAAACTACACAGACTTCACTTGATTTGGCAACTGCGCTTTTTCAAAGTTTTTGGCAGTTGTTTACTCTTAAAAAGAAATAAAAGGAGTCCTTTTCAACCAAAAGATTTACTAAATAGATATATAATGCCCTCGCTATTCCATATTCAACACATTCAAAACTTTAATAGAAATTGTTATCCTAAAAGTGAATGTCAGAGTATTCAGTATTTTACTTTCAGGATATCTCATAGAACTATAGAAGACAATGTCCAAACATGAAATTCTCAATGAATCAACAATGACACAGATCTCTTGCCTGTTTGTTGAAGCAATGCAAATATGTTAAATAAACTCAGTCCCTCTGAATGTTTGTAATAATATGAAGAAGCACAAAATATGTAATATTGATTGCTAATATGCAAAGAAGAGAGAGGCTTTGCTGCATGAGTCCGTGGTATGAAGCAAAAATTTACTGCCATACAGTATTATAACGAACCAAAATAATCTCTTGCATGAGGCTCAAATTGAAAGGAGATACGCAGATGTCAAAGCATGATAGCACTCTTCATGAGACGCATTTACGTCTTGCAAATGTCAAATAACCTGTGTGACCTCGAGCTTCAGAACAAGGTCTAGCCATGACAAAAGAAATAGATGGATTGCTGCTGAGTACATAGTTTCCATCAGAGCATTGTCTCCTCTTGCTAGGAAGAGAACCATTAGAACCATTGCCATCTCCGCGTAGGCTTTCCATTTTCCCTTCACGAATTTCAAACGTGCGTAAAAGTACCTCAAATGTCCTTATATCTATTTACATAGGTAAAAAAGTACATGAGAATTCTGTCAGTCTAGTACAAATTACAGCAAGTTACATATATAACATGAAAGAGAAAGAAAGCACACAAAAGATAATGAAATAAGAAAATAGAGAGGGGGCAGAAAGAAGAAAAACACAAAACTACCTGTGAAGTAGGTTCGGAGTGTTTCGCATGATCGTTGTACTTGTTCAATACAAGGAGAGAAAGAGCACACTGTGCCATCATGTCTTAACATCTTGGCTGCTGAAGAAATGGCAAGCCAAGGTTGAGGTAGATCCAAAAATATAGAGTCGGCCATGCCTATAAATTCATCAGGAAATCCTTCACCCTGGATGTCCCTAACTCCCACAGTGACTAAGCTGCTTAGACCTGTCCTCTCAAAATCATCCCTACAAAGAAGAAAAATTAAGTGAATATATGACGTAGGAATAATTCAACATTCTGCATAAACCTTGTGAAAAGGGAAAAAAAAAAGAGTAATGTACAGGGCAAAATTGTAAACTGGATTCTAGATCCATTTTTCTCCACCACATCCCAAAATGCTAAATCCTGTTGAGAGAAATCCTTAGTTCCTTACATAATCTAAGAACATAGCCTAGTACTAGTACATCAAGTAGTACAGAACAAAAGCTAGCATTTTAAATTATGAAGTATCTGATCACTGAATATCTTGCCCAAAATTTCATAAGAATAATAAAACAAAAGTTTAAATTTCATCCACGGCCAAAGTAAATTTATGCTGTCATCTAATTATACGTTAGCACATCATTTAAAGAGTGAACTTCTTGAGAAAGATTGAGTCAAATTTCTTTCGATGATTTGACACACATGATTGGATGATAGTGGAATCCATAGAAAGTATACCAGAAGACGTGGATGAAAGCTACATACAAATATACTAAACATCATATTATGTCAAATAGAATTTTCAAGGTTTTAAAAAATAGTTTGCAACCGCAATTTTGACCGCAACATGGAGGTTTTTGGACTCTACTGCAATTGCGGCCACTTTTGCCATCGATTAACCACAATATTAATGATCACAAGAAAACTACAACTGTAACTCAGTTTAAAACCTTATCAATTTCTATAAGGAAGATCAAAATATTTATGCCTTATTTGTTACCTAGCTGATGCAGCCCTTTGTTCATGGAAATCAAACGTATAGACGTGTCCTGAAGGAGCAGCTGCCCTTGCAAGTGAAGTAGTCAACGATCCACTTCCAGTTCCAGATTCAAGAACCAAGCTACCAGGAACAATCTCCAAGTACATGATAACAAAGCTAATATCCGCAATGTAGAGAATCTGAGTCCTGTGGTTTAATACCAGAGTCCACAATTCTGGTGTGGGAGCTAACAAGTACACAAAACTACCCTTACTGCTGAATACTTTAGACCCAAACGGCTTTCCTATCCATTCTGAATGTTTAAAAACACCAAAACGATTCTGCAGGACTGAACCCTCAGACACTGTCACAGCCTTCATGTTGTCATGCCTTTCATAAACAATAACCAAATCTCCGTTACTAATTGATTGGTTAAATGATAACTTTTTGCAGGGTGACAGGCCAACATCTTCACTCAAAAGGAACTATTATCTGATAATCAAAAAGGAGAGAAATCAATAACAAATGAGAGGTGTAATTGGAGTTTAGCATTCAAATCAAAACTGAAGACAACATTTGTAGGGCCCGCTAGTCCACCCGTTCCTCCACCATAGTATGATATTGTCCGCTTTGGGCCCAAGACCGCACGGTTGTGTTTTTGGGCTCCTTCCCAAAAGCCCTTCATTTTACCGATGTGGGGACCGCTGGCTCTGATACCACTTGTAAGGCCCGCTAGTCCACCCGTTCCTCCACCATAGTATGATATTGTCCGCTTTGGGCCCAAGACCGCACGGTTGTGTTTTTGGGCTCCTTCCCAAAAGCCCTTCATTTTACCGATGTGGGGACCGCTGGCTCTGATACCACTTGTAAGGCCCGCTAGTCCACCCGTTCCTCCACCATAGTATGATATTGTCCGCTTTGGGCCCAAGCCCGCACGGTTTTGTTTTTGGGCTCCTTCCCAAAAGGCCTTCATTTTACCGATGTGGGAACCGTTGGCTCTGATACCACTTGTAGGGCCCGCTAGTCCACCCGTTCCTCCACCATAGTATGATATTGTCCGCTTTGGGCCCAAGCCCGCACGGTTTTGTTTTTGGGCTCCTTCCCAAAAGGCCTCATACTATGTGGAATGGTGGACACTTATAAACTAGCCAATGTTCCTTCATTTTACCGATGTGGGACTTGGGATGAATCCCAACAACATTAACTACAAACTCCTGCAATCTGTTTAGTGCCAAACCTCAGAGACAAAACTTGACCATAAAACTGCTGAAAATTTGACCTATCCTGATTCTCTTAATAAACTAGGTTAGCATCAATGAATTTATAATTTTTTTTCTTTTGTTTTAAAATACGGCTAAACTATAACACCGTTCCCGTTATAATGGTAGTGTGAAGTGTGTTCCTAGCACAAAAACTCTTTTTTATTTTCGAAAGAACTTTGAAATCCTGCAATTTAGAGTGGAACAAGAAAATGGAAATATGAGTGACAAAAAATGGACACGTTGTTTGGCATGAAGGAATGGAGAAACGAAGCAGAAGGTGGAAATTTTAATCTTTGTTGGTAAAGTTGAAAACTTAAGCCTACTAATTAGTGGGTTTACAGGCTGAGGGAATTGGGTTGAGAAGCTTACTGTGTTCCACGGATCAATAACGGCACTCACCTAAACGAGGGGCTCTTAACCTAAAACGAATTATCAAAATTACGGCTATGAGACCAAAGTTTTTCTTTATTCTACAGACCATAAAATTAATTAATGCCCTTTCGCATCTTATTTTAACGGTTCAAACAACTTTTTTAGCTCGACTTTTAATTTAAATTCACTCCAATATCACTTATATTTGAAATATATGGAATAAGATGAGCTTCATACAAATTGAGTTAAGATATATTTTATAAAAGATTGAATGATCAATGTAGTTTACGTAATTGTAACTTGCTCTTAATTTATTCTTTAAATTTAAAAAAATTAAAGGAAAATTTGAAATTAATTTCTGTTATATTTATTAATTTCTATCAAGAATGAAAATTTAAAATAATGAATTTTCTTAGATAATAATTTTTTTTCCTTCATCTTCTTCTTTTATATACCAATTTTTTTATTTGCTTCTCGACAAATTTAATTTGTTATAAAATATTTTTTATATGTAACGTTTCTTCTCTTTTTTATCATCTTCGTCCAAATTTCATTAATGATTTTCTCAAGTACATAATTTAGTTATAAAGTGTTAACGATATTTAAAAACTAGCGACCACATCCATAATTTCAATGACTATATTTAATCTTATGCTTACGTTGAAACAACTCTTGGGACTAGTAGTTAGTCACACCACAAGTCTCCTAATGACAATTTCTATTGTCAGAAATTGTATAGTTAAAAATAATTTAAAAACATAATTTTAAAATTTGTATAATTGAGAATAACTTGAAAAATTAATTAGTACAACCTACATTTTTAAGATGCATTTATTTGTCAATAATTTATCACTCAAGAATTTTACAATTAATTGTGTTTAACTCAGAGGAATTTTGGGATAAGTGACCTTGTAGAGAATTTTTTCAAATAGTATGAGTAAAAACAAAACACAAAGATTTTGTATTGGTTTGTGAAAACAATTATTAAGACATACAAACATCTAAAAAATAATTACTTACATAAAATTCTAATTAATAATTATGAACAATTAAAAAGTTGAATGAAGCATCATTATGTGAAATATCATACAATCTATAAAACATCAAATAGGTATTACAGAATTTTTTACATGAATAATTTTTTTTAAAAAATAATTACAAAAGTAACATTTGTACAACATTATTTACTCAACTAGAATCAATCACTGTTCATGCTCGGAATTCGGTTCCCCGGGAACCAAATTCTGAGCTTCAATATTTTTTTTCCTTTTTTTTTTGTGTTCAGAATTCGGTTCCCCGCGAATCGAATTCTGAGTTGTTTTAATTTTTTTTTTTTTTTTTTTTGCGTTTGAGGCCCAGTTTGGTCGAATCTGGGAAGTGGAACGGGCCGTTCCAGAAGCAGAAAGGCCCGTTCTGCTTAAACACATAGAGTGTTATTTTTGAAATTGGAATGGTGCAGAACGGACCGTTCCAATTTCAAAAATAACACTCTATTTGTTTAAGCAGAACGGGCCGTTCTGCTTTCGGAACGGCCCGTTCTACTTCCCAGAAACGCAAAAAAAATTAAAAACAACTCAGAATTCGGTTTCCCGGGAACCGAATTCTGAGCACAAAAAAAAAGAAAATTTGAAGCTCAGAATTCGGTTCCCGGGGAACCGAATTCTGAGCATGAACAGTGATTGGTTCTAGTTGAGTAAATAATGTTGTACAGATGTTACTTTTGTAATTTTTTTTAAAAAAAATATTATTTATGTAAAAATTTCAGGTATTACACCTATCCTTCTTCTTTAAACCTTTTGGAAATGAAGTTGGAGGCATAGGCCCACCCTTGTTGCTGGGCTAAGGAAAATAAGGAGAAGTTCTTGTAACTTTGCTTCAAGTTTGGTTTTTTAATGCAAGTTTCTAGATTTATAATTGGAATCTCAATGTTTTGTTGATTGGCGAAAATAGTTAAGATTTTTACAATGTTGGGCTTTAATTTGAAATTAACTTTGGGTTTTTTTTGGGAGTTGGTAAGTGGAGTGTTTTTCATTTAACATGCTTACATGAGTTTGACTATCTAGTTCACTAGCTTAAGCAAGAAAATGCACGATTAAGAATGAAGAGGTGTTTAATGCTGTTTTATATTTATATGTATTGACATGTTTTGTGTAGTTAAATTAAGAATCAATGATGTTTATTAGTATGAGTTAGAGAAGATTAAGAATAGAAAAAAGTTGCAGACAAAAGAAATGGGAGGAAAGGGAAAGACAAAGAAAAAAGAATTATTGATGATTTTTTTTCTCTTAAATTTTTATTTTGGTCTTGCTGGTTGGAAGTCACATATTAAATAGTTGATACCTATGCCACATTTAACATGTCAAGTAAGTACTATTAACAATATTAAGTAACATACTTGACAGTAAAACTAATATGAATTACGCATATCAATTTTAAGAACTTGTTTTTAATTTTATTAAATTTTTGGACCAAGCTAAGCTTGAGTTATAAGTTCATGGACTAAATTGATCATTTATTCTTTATAATATATTTTTGAATCAATATTATCATTATAAATATAATATCATATTATACAAAATATTATTTTATTAAACTATTTTTTATTATTAATACACAATCATTAAAAAAAAATATACTTTCAAAAAAAAATATGGAACTCTCAACTGGATTAAGATCATGACCCAAAATAAAATATGAATTTGTCTTCAAAATGTATAAATAAGTCCAAGTGTATACTTTAATTTATCACCAAACTTAATTTGACAGTTTTAGTATTAGCTTCAGTTGTTGAGTTGGTTTATATGTTCCTTCTTATGCAAAGTGTCTTTAACGTTAGTAGCTCAACGTCATTACTTTATAAATGCTTCAAGAATTTTGAATATTGATTAAGTGTATTGAATAAATTAATTGAAAGTAATTCTAACTGAACATTTGTTATCTAATTAATGCTGGTAGCTTGAGTATTCATTTGGGGTGCACTATTCTTCTAAGAAAGGTTAGAACACATTCTATCTCCTTAGCAGCTTAGTCCTTATCATATTCACAAGTATTACGACATTTAAGGATTGTTAAAATATGGTGAAGTAATGCAAGCCCTTTTACTTTATATATCTTGTACCCCGATTGAGATTTATGTTAATTATATGACAGTAATAAGATATGAGGTTGAATTAGCTTGAGCTTTGATTATACATCTGACAATATCATGTACTTATTATTGAATCTGTTGGAATTTTCGCTTTCTATAATGAGATGACAGACAGTAGAGTTTCTCTTCTTTGAGTTATCACAATCCTTCTACCAAATCCAGCAATCAGATTCTTGGCTGTCACTTGTCACGATTGCAAAAAATAATAAAGTGAAGAAGCATCATAGCATAAAAGATTCATTATATCCTATGGCATTAATTGGTGGGTCTAATCCGAGCAAAGAGCCAAGCCCAAGATGATCATGAAGAGGGCAAGGGCCCCAATGTAGTAGTAGGCTAATATGCATTTTTGTGGTTTCCATTAGTATCCTGTAGCCGTATAGCTATGTTTATGGCGCCAAATTAAAATTACTTTATCTCCACCATTCCAGATTCCACCGCAGTTCCCATTCTTCTCTCCTATATTCCATCAATTCAATTGATAACGAAAGATAAATGCTTCGTCCTCTTATTCTTCTTATTCTATTATCACTTTCAATTATTGTTCAGATATTCTTCATTCTTTATATAGTACTCAATCAAATACCAGAAATAAAAATTATTTCATTCTAAACATTTTCACGAACAACAAGTATATATACTATTCCGTAAGCTGTCTCTACCACATGTCCTGTACTCCTGTTTTTCAGATGGAATAAAAAAGACCGTGCACAAAATGTCATAAATA